TGCAGTGCTGTTGTTCTGCGTAGTTTTATACCTTCGTCGGCTCTTATTTACATATTATACAAGACACTCACTGGATGAATAGGGGTCGTGACACTCTGTATTCTAAATCCGTCACGTGTAGTGACGGACGGACAAACAATTTGACTCCCCTTTATGAGTAAGATACTAACATGATTCTTCTTTAGTTGTCTTATATATATGCTATGGATGAAGTTTTTAATAGAGTATTATTTGACGACTGGATGGCGTAGTGGTTTGTGTAACGGACTGCTATTCCAAAGGTCGCGGGTTCGATTCCCGTTCAAGTCAAACATTTGTGTGCATGAACATTTGATGTTTGATTTGGTCTGGGTGTCTCTATGTATAATATGTATGTATGTACAAAAAAAAAAGTATATATGTATTTATATCAGTTGTCTAGTACCCATAGTACAAGCTCTGCTTAGTTTGGGACTAGATGGCGTTGTGTGTATGTGGTAGAATATTATTATTTATACTGTCCAGGCAGCCTTAGGATCGCCGTCGTGTGCTACGCGGACGACACACTCGTGACGGCGCGCGGCAAGACGCACCACGAGGCAACCCTGAGGGCCACGGCCGGGGTTGCCCAAGTCGTTGAGCGTATCCGGCGGCTGGGTCTCGAGGTGGCTCTGCACAAGTCCGAGGCCCTGTTCTTCCACGGGCTTCGGAGGAAGCCGCCTGAGGGATCTAGCCTCACGGTAGGAGGCACTCGCATCGGCATCGAGCCCTCGATCAGGTATCTGGGGCTCGTACTCGATGGCCGATGGGACTTCGGATATCATTTCCGAGGTCTGGTCCCCAAGTTGGTTGGGGCAGCGCGTGCGTTGGTGCGGCTGCTGCCCAACATGAAGGGACCCGATGACTCCTGCCGGAGACTCTACTCGGGGGTTGTGCGGTCCATGGCCCTTTACGGGTGCCCAGTATGGGCGGGGGCCCTGAAGGCCAGCAACGTCGCGATACTGCGACGACCGCAGCGAATGCGGCCAGCATTCGCTGCATCAGGATCATAAGGGGGTACCGCACGATCTCCTTTGAGGCGGCGAGTCTCCTGGCCGGAACTCCACCGTGGGACCTGGAGGCGAGAGCCCTTGCGGCTCTGTATCAGTGGCGCAAGGAGGCGCAGGAGTTGGGTCGATGCCCCGAGATTCGAGAAATCGATGACCGGAAATCCCAACTCCGCCAGGTCATCATAGGGGAGTGGAGGGAACGACTCGGGCAACCGAGCGCCGGGCACGCCGTCATTGCGGCGGTAAGACCCGTTATGGAGGATTGGCTCGAGAGGCGTCACGGGACCCTCTCATACCGATTGACGCAGGTGATCACTGGGAAGGGATGTTTCGGAGATTACCTGTGTCTGATCCGCAAGGAGCCAACGCCTGAGTGCCACCACTGCGATGGCCAGACCGTGGACACGGCTCTCCACACGCTGGCAGAGTGCCCGGCGTGGGTTGAGCAGAGGCGAGACCTCGTGGCGGCCATCGGAGTGGGAGTTCTCTCGCTCGATAGCCTGATTGCGGCTATCGTGCGGAGCGAGAGTGTGTGGAACTCTGCCGTCTCCTTCTGCGAGCAAGTTATGCTCGCGAAGGAGACGGCGGAGCGGGACCGGGAGAGGTTTAGAACTCTCCCGGCCCGCCAGGCCCGGGCACGGGCCAGGCAGCGCAGGCGACCCAGGCGCCGGAGGTCGCAGAACGACCTCCGTCCTCCATAAGCGCAGGCCTGGGGGTGACAGGTGAGGCCATCTGTCACCCTAGCAGAAGCAGGCCGGGGTGACGGCGAGCGCGTTGCGAAGCGCGCTCGCTTCCAGGGAGCACAGGGAACATGGGGTTCCCACACGGGGGGGGGGGGTCGTCTACTCGTCTGTAGATGACCCGAGGTATGTCGGGGCACCAGGGACTTCCTTTCTAGGGTATACCTGGTTCCCCGGCTATTAGTACCCGGCGAAGGCGTGCGGTTTTAGTCGGTTCGAGTCCGACATGCCACCGACAGGTGGTATCCGAGGGGATTTCCGCACGGAAAAAAAAAAAAAAAAAAAAAGAAAGGCAGCCTTAGGAACAAGTATGATTAGCGAATTTACCCTCTAAAGAAGTCACTAAAATTATTAATATTGTCCATGTTACTTAGGCTCTTCTTGCTTTCATTTATGCCTGCTAAATTCTATTTTACTTGATGATGATAACTCTTGCAAAATTTATGACAAATCTTGTATTTACCTATGACTGCGAAAGCCTAGCATGCGCTGCATTGCTGTTGATCTTTCACAGGTAAAATCGCATTCCTGTCTCTCCAGTCGAAGTGATTCGCAACGAACATTCATCAGCAAAATTTTCATAAAATGATTTTCTCAAACCGATTTCTTACAAAACATTTCCCCACGTAACAAACCCACGACAATACTTTAAAATAAATAACAATATGTACTTTTTTAGTTAACAGTATACATCGAAACTCTGTGAAAAATGTTCGTTTTAAAGATAATCGCATTCAAAGGCATTCACGTAATGCGATGTTTTACTGTTCTTTTTACGGCACCTTGAATGATTCTAATTTACACAATTCACATTGCGCGAATACGTTTCAGTATTTTTAAAATTCTGAAATATTTTACAACCAATAAATTGTTTAATTTTATGCGGGATTTAAACACGGTAAAACATTTTATATAGGATTTAAGGTGGAATGATAAATAGTCAAAACTTTGTTAAGGAAGAATATTTCACATATCGATACCATAGTGTGTTACTTACGTGAATTTATTATATTTATCATCATCATCAACAGCCTGTAACAGTCCACTGCTGGACATAGGCCTCTCCTTAGAAAGGAGGTTTTGGCCTACTATACCACGCTGACCAGACGGGTTGATATAGGGTTTGTTTCAAGTTTTCCTTCTCTTTGCAGTGCTGTTGTCCTACGTAGTTTGCTCCCTTAGTTGGCTCTTAAGACGCCCACGGGATGAATAGGGACTTCCCGAGTGTCATAACTTGGTGTGTTAGTGGGTCACTGCTGTTGAAACAAGTTGGAACAGTGGGCGTCTAGCAAGAATTAGGCCCATAATATCTTTATAGACGTTAAATTATTATTTGATATAACTCCCCCCCCCCCCTCTCCTCCGGTGACCCTGGCGTACCATCTTTTTCACGAAGCCATTCAGGATATTTTCAACCGCCAATGTCTTTGTGGACACATACAATTTTAGTCCCACTTTCTGAATTGTAAAAATAGAAATGTGAATGAAAGTATTTTTTGACGTTTACATCATTATTCTTTACTCCACTTTAAGAGTTAGTGAGTTGATGTCCCTGACTTGATGGTCTTGCCCCAGCTTGGGGATGGTCCCAGATGGTCTTGCATACAACTGAATATAAATTGGTAACTTAATGCAACTTACAATAATATTACATTTTTAACAGTTTTTTCCGTGCAACACTATACTACGCTATCTGTGGTCATGAGTTGTCTGTGAGACTGTGATCATATTTGACGTGGTGATCACTATTATTTTAGGTTACTATGTTTTGCATGTAACCAAGCAGGCCTTTCAACCTTAACCACATAGATAGATAGCTTGTGTGGATGAGAGTTGTACGCTGTGTCCCACAGAATAGGTGGACCCTCAGCATTTACTGTGATGGACATGGTCCGCCCCAGTACTGATTTTCAGTGCCCACCAGAGTTATTGATTTTCAATTTCTTTTCAATTTGAACGATGGTGATGAATTTGAATTACTATGGTCATTTACAGTGGATAAGTTATTATAAACGGAATATTTATAATGTTTATTACCATGCTGATGAACTGTTCATCCGTGATTATGTCACTTGCAACAGAGCCCGAAAGATTTGAACCTAATTTACGAAAATTCACTTTAAAAAAAAAAAAAAAACGACTACATTGCGCCTACATCTTGTTAAATTGTAATTAACTTTATTCTTCATTCCTTTATTTTGACCTTTATGGGTTGTTTTTTTTTTTAAATTGGAATGGCGCCAAACGGGAAGTATTTAAATAAAAAATGAATTTGCTGAATCTGTTAAATGACGGAGTTCTAGGTAACAAACATTTAAAAAAACAGACAGCCGAATTGAGAACCTCCTCTTTTGTCGAAGTCTTTTTGTGTTGAAGTCGTTTAAAACGTGGGATAATAGTTTAAAAGTTCTGAGGTCTTGTTACTTTTTTTGTTTACATTGAGTACCTAGCTACTTTAATCACTAGATTCAACTGCAAAACTAAAATTCCTACTAAACGGATTCAATAAGAAAACTAAAAAAACCGGTCAGGTACAAGTCGAACTCGTGCACCGAGGGTTCCGTACTTACCATGATTTTACATAGATGTTCGCGAAAATTTCTAAGTACCAAAATTTATCTTAATTTTCAACTTTTTTTATTTGTTGGAATTATTCCTTGATTTGAGCTGTAAGACGTTTCTTTTTGCAAAATTTCGTGATTCTAGGTCAACGGGAACTACCATATAGGTTTTTGACCCAAAACCTATAGGGTAATTCCGGTTGACCTAGCATTGTCAATTTTGGTTAAAAGCATCGTCTTACAGCACAAGTAAAGCGAAAATTCTGAAAAAAAAAGTTGAAAATTAAGGTAAATATTGGTACTTACAAGTTTTCGAAAATCGAAATTTGCCCATATCTTTTTATAGTGTTTACTCAGGACATTGATTTTTATATACCTAATAGGGACCATAGACCTCAGCATCTGGTATAAATTTCAACTTGCTAGTTTTACCCGTTCCTGAGAGAATCGGTGGTGACACACGGACAGACCGACAAGAAAGTGATCTTATAAGGGTTCCTTTTTTACCTTTAGAGGTACGGAACCCTAAAAAATAATTACATTTCGAAATCACAAGGTTGGGATTTGTTATAAAAAAAAGCCGCTCACATTAGGTATAAGAAGGGTAAATTCTTAAAATTCAACATCATCAACACATTTATTTATTAAATCTACTAAAAGTTTTCTTAACTTCAAGTTACTACAGAAAAGGACACATCTGAGGCGATACCGCATGCATTACGCCCACGCACCAAGTAGTAATATCCCTTGTCGCCCCAATCTTCGCCCCAGGAGTTCTTTATTATCCAGTAAGGAGTTTCGCGGCCATGTGTATCAACTGCAATAAATGTGTTTTTAGTAGTTGTATTTTAACCTTCTTATAATACAAACCTCACACATACACTAATAATAATAATCTTATAATATAAAAATAATTAAAGCATCGGTAGCCTAGTGGTTAAGGCGTTGGACTTGCAATCAAGAGGACGTTGGTTCAGATCCTGAACCGTACACTAGCGACGTGAACCCAATCCTAACACAAGCAATTTAGCGCAGTGGGAGGGGTTAACGGGAATATTAGTAATTTCGGTTGCTAGTAGACCTTTAAAAAAAAAGTTTACAGCACCCGTACTATGGTAACCAGACTGCTGACAAATATATATATATTTCTAAATACATACATAATATAAATACAGGTAATACACAATCACACTCAGAAACAAAACAAATGATCGTATCCATCAAATTTATTAGTCCTGAGTTCCCACTCAGGACTAATAAATTTAAACAAGACCCAAGACATCTGGGTCAAACCCAAGACATCTGGGTTAGCGGTCAAGGTCCCTAACCACTGTTGAGAACGAGAGTTACTGATCTGTTGGTCTCAACAGATCAGTAACACTCTCGCCTATATTTGTTGAGGGGTAAGTAGAGGCTTTTGAAATTTAGCATTTTGCTAGTATCTTAAAATGGCCAAGACTGTTACCGTCTACTGCCAGACTCTTTAGGGATAAGAAGTGAAGGTCCACTGCCTTAGTCAGCCTGTTACCACTGTTTGCGCATTTTACTTATATCTTTACTTATGAATGTGAAAGTGAGTTTTTTCGTTTATTTGTTACGATTTCACGCCCAAGCCATTAACCCGTTTTTATTCTCAGCGAGTAACATAAGCTACTTTTTATCGCGATAACTAACATCCACGCTGGCTGGCCGCTGGTCATATATAATGAAACGTATAACCTTAAACGTTGTAATAGGAGCAACGTATTTGAAATCCTTTGACAACGGATTAGGGTTTATAATTTCATTTCCAAATTGGTAAAATAAAAAGTATACTATTGGTACGCACCATACACATTGTAACCAACTATCAAAACAGCATGATCCAGATCATTAGGATTGCAGTCCTTATCTGATGGCTCATCTATAATATTTGATTTGTAATGTCTCATCGAAGCTGCATTGATAGCTGAAATGAATAATATAAACATAGTTACAAAATTTTAATTTGAACCTGAATAATTTTGAATCTGGACCAGACACTCATCTGGTTTCAATAAGAAGTAAAAACATACTTCTGTGCCATCTAACGAAGACATTCTGAACTACGAAGTAACTACAAATGCTGCATCGCATAATGATAGTTCTCATGTCAATATGTATTGATATAAAACTTCCCAACAGCATCAATGGGCCCCCGCGCCTGGTCGGAATATCGGATCCTCCCTTTTTTTTAAAAGACTAAAAGACCAAGATAATTAAGATGCTGTAAATGAATACGATGATAAAAAATGTGTTTATTTTTAACTCTTATTCTTCAGCCTATAGCCATCCGTCCGTAGCAGCATCCATCCGCTGCCAGCCATTTTTCTCAAGTCCGCCCTACACTACGTTTGCCTAATACTAATATTTGCTTTATTAAAGTTTAGATGAAACAGTGGAGCACATACCACAAGTGCTCACACTTAAGCAACTTAGCGCTAGGATCATTCCTAGTGCTAAGTTGCTCAAACAAACGATTAAATGCTACCCCAAATATAAGGTTTTTTACTTAGTTGTTTGCATATTTTATCTGAATTATATCAGTTTGCTAAAATCTTGGTCTTTTAGATTCGGATTTTTATTTCGAAGTTTAGATTCGGATCTGTTTACAGTGATACAACTCTAATTATATCATTATTCATTATAAATTGACTTAAAATGTGACATTTATTAGAATCACACTTATACCACGAAGCATAAAAAATATTGTGGGCAGCAATCATTTAGCGTCTATATTCACGAATTTTTAACAAGAATCCTGCTAGTTATATCAATTTGCACAAAATTATCTCCTAAACGATAGTAGATAAAAGAACGTAAGTTAGACAAAAAAAACTGAAAAATTCTATGTAAAAATCACAAAAAGGGTACAATAAGACTTAAATCACTCATAACACGAGGCACATTATTATTACCTGCTGATAACGGTCCAAAATGGAAAACAGCTTTAGCCATTTCCTCTTCATCACTGCTTACTCTTTTGAAACCAGTAACCTTGACTAATACGGAGGAGGATTAGGTGCTGTGCATTTTTGCTGACCATTCTGATATGGATAATCTTTTTCCAGAAGTACACCACCAAACCGAGTGACAATGTTTCTGAAAAGATAAAATCAGCATGCAGTACAAGAGGTAAATTATTCAGGCCCTGATTGATTACCAACAGTATAAGCAATAGTGGACAGTCACTCGTAATACCCCAATCATTCTTCCACAAAGCTAATAAATTAAAATTACTTTTATTATGACACCAACAAACCATTTTTTTATTATTGAAAAGTTCTACAACGAATCAATGAGAGCATGGGCTACCTTAGTTTATAAAAAACAAGCCATGAATAATCTCTATATATATAAAAATGAATTGCTGTTCGTTAGTCTCGCTAAAACTCGAGAACGGCTGGACCGATTTGGCTAATTTTGGTCTTGAATTATTTGTGGAAGTCCAGAAAAGGTTTAAAAGGTGAAAAAAATATGAAAATGATCTATTATTTTTTTAATTCCGTGCATTTTTTAATTGTTTTCATAAAAAAAGGATTCCTTTTGTTTGTTTATTTTATACAAAAGTTTAAGTCTTTTATTTATCAATTGAGGCAGTACGCAGTCTTCCGGGTCAGCTAGTTTAAAATAAGATTTGAAACAGAACTATTGTTGTTGTTGTAATTTGTTGAAGTATTGTAAGTTGATGAACATATAATTGGTTTTGGAAAGAACTTTCATTTAGTTAATGTTTATGAAGCATGAAATTCCAGTACTAAATGTAGGACTATCAAAGCCGATTTGTAGCAACTAAAATATGGTTAGACAGATGAAATTGTTGTGACAAAATTACACCCACATATTTAGCGGTAACGGGGATTCGGTTAACAACAACAACGTCAAAATTAAAAGAATAAATATTTTTCTCATAATAATATACATATATGTACAAGCTGCTACTTACGCAAAAGCACTTGTGATAGACCCTGTCTTACATCCTTCCTGGTCATGATCACAATCAATAAGAAATTGTTCTGACATTAGCTTTTCATCATTCTTGTATATCTTTAATTGACTCTCAATATTTGCTATGAAACAAAGTAAAAAGAAGAATTTTACTAAATTACTAATAGACTTTTAATTGAAGCATAACATAAACTTGGAATAGTAGAGATATATGTGTTTGGACAGAATATATTTGAATTCTATTCATTTTCTAATATTCCCCGAAGACTTGGCAATTGATGTCAATGCTAAATCTTTTTACAAGATCAAACAAAGTGAAATCCATGTAACTAATAGTTGAAGAGCCTTTGTCAAAAAGTGCTTAAAATTTTCCTTCATCTAATAATAGTATTAGTATCGTTTTTGGAGTCATTTCAAATGCACCAATACAGGCACAACTGCAGTGTTTGAATGTTGACGAAATGTTGGACTGGTTACGTCACGCACGTCTTATTATATTCAAAGGCAATAGTAAATTATTAAAAAGTTAAGGCTGGAGTTGAGCTGGCTAGTCAACAATAAAGTATAATTAGGACACATAGCTAACTCTTTTTATGACTGTCGGACTAGGTTCCTGAACTACCCTTGAAAAAAATGACTGATGAAATTTTTTTTAT